AACATGAAATAATCAGAATTTGCCAGGCTCACCATTCTCGCAGCTTGTCTGACTTTGGTGTCTTCTGAATTTCAGGATGGCAATATAATATATAGTCCTCGCCTTTCAGTGGAGGACAAGCCCATATGTAACAACTCGTAAAACCTCGTTTTTTGCAATATTCAAGGTATCCAATCTGCAACCATGACAACAATGAATAGATAAGGTAAGTCAATATTGTTTCCCAAGAACAGGTCTCCGATGATAATGTGATAGAAGTCCCTAGGTAATAAAATTAGAAATTAAACCTATTAAAAGAATGAATCAGTAAGAAAAGAGTATAAATATTTGAACAGTAAATATTACAGTTGAGTTTATGTAGAGAGTCAAGATATACCAGAATTTCATGGTAAACAAAAGTACGCAAAGCTTCTCCTGTCACTGTTCTGATATCAGGCCTGAAGTATTTGACAGAATCCAGATATGAAAGATAAACACGCCGCTGATTAGGAAATTGGCATTCTGAACCAAATTCTTGGACATACATCCCAAATAGGCATACTTCTACACCTTCTATCTTCTGAAATAACAACACAACCTGCACAAGGACTTGTATAAATTCACCTTTCAACTATGTATAAGCGCCATACACAACATGATCCCCCAAAACCCAGTTGCATGATCTTCTAACTGCATATAAAATGGGCAAAAAGAAAGCCAGTAACTAGACGAATTTAGGATTTTGTACCTTAGATTTGTAGGGATATTCTGTTGGGTAATTTTCTTCCTGAAAAATCTCCAAAAACCGCTGCTTCACTTCCAATTTTTTATCAACTGATGAAACAACTCTGACAACAAGTGCTTCAGCGCCTGGAACCTGAATGTGGACAGCAGTATCAATGCCATCGCATATCGAAGTCCTTATATTCAATTAATGACATAAAAACTAGATCAACAACCATGAACAGAGGGGGGGTGATAACCGTGTTAAAGACTCTAAATTGCAAATGGTAGCACGCGCAAATGTGTTGCATAAAATTGCAGAAGCTCAGACATGAGGTATATCCTTAACCTCATCATTTAGGAAAAAAAATAGTTAATGAAAACTAATTCTTATGGACTTAGTGTTATAATGTTGATGCATATATATTATGGTAATATTATACTTTGATGATTAGCTAAACAAAATGACACCGACAAAGATCCTTTTCTCATTGGAATCTAAAACATTAATAAAAACAAATGTCAATATGCAAGCCAAGAAAAACCATCTCAACAGTAAATGAGTTAGGTGTAGAGAAGCATGAAAGTTTGAAAGACATGGATAGTTATTTGCAAGGAATATAGTTAAAAGTATAACTGACACAGTCACATTTCTGGAATGAGTGAATTCTTTCAGTAATATTATATATGTGTAGAACAAAAATATCTGGTATATTATTTTGTAGGGAACAGTGTATTATATGTTTCTGAATTTGAACGGAAATACAAACAGACATATAGCAGGTAAAAGAGAGGAAAATCGATTGTAGGTGTACTACAAAGAAAGGAGCAAGTGAAGTGGGCATCATGCACAGGACTGGAAAATATGTACTTAATAACAGCAACGTGATTAAATATAAACTTGGAATTAGTTATAAGAGAGGGTATTAAGTGTGAGGATTTCAAATGTAAGTAATCAACAATCAACGGTGAGTGTATTCCAATTGAAGGATTAAGTGAAATGGAAACTTCAAAAAATATTTTACAATGATGCAGTTATATTACTTGACTAATTATTACATTATGATGTCATTTAAGGTGGGAAAAGATAAAAGGACATTGCACCATGCATCAATACCTGCAACGGTGCAACCAATGGCAGTTGCTTTTAGTATAGTATATATTTGCAGAATTTCTCCTTAGTTTCATGACTCAAACAAAGCTAAGTATACCTACTAACCTACCAGCGCTGAAGGTGTAATATGTGTATTCTTGTAGTATTTTCACCTTGACTATGTCACCAACTAATAGAGGGCAAAAGCACAGTTTGCACTCGTAAGACTTGGGGTACTATACCTATTTTGATGGAAGAGGCTCAGTTGAATACAATAATGATATAGGTTTCACATATTGTTCCTTTTATAAGATTTATATGTTGCATTGTCATTAAAGCAACACATTTCAATGGAGAAATGCAACCGTTTATTGTGAGAATTACCTCATCATAACTTTTTCCAAGGTGTCTTGCTCTCTCTTGTCTCTCCTGCTTCAGTCGTTTAAAAAGGCGTTGCTCTATTTGATCACTCAGAATTGTTCTTGGCAAATCTTTTGCTCCAAGAACAGCACTCTGCGGTAAGGGTTTACGTTCCCCTTTTTCTATCTCCTTTATATAGCAATTAGGACAAGTGTACTCTGCTTGTCCTCCATCATTTCTTCGCCCATTAAAGAGCGCACATATTTGATGCTGCCAGGCTTCACATTTGTCACATTGAACCCACTGCAACAGAAGAAAGTAAGCAGAACATTCAAAGCAAAATATTACATAAAACGTTAAGTCCGATAAAAGTGTTAAAAACTTGCCCATTCTTCAGTTTCCTCATCATTTCTCTTTTTCTCAAGCTTTGCCTTTGGAAATGCAGAACCCTCTACTTCGATAGTGTCTCCACGAGCCTCATTGTAACATGGAATACAAAAGAAGTGTCGGGTGTCACCACTCCCCATGGTATAATACATTGCATTTCGTTTTATGCGAGCACCGCATGGAGTACAGTATATCGGAGGGGGTTCAAAGGTGAGTTTTTCAACTGCACACAATTGACATGAGTTTTCACTCATTGAACGTTCCATTGCTTGATTCTTTTCAGCCTTAGCTTTACTCTGAACAAAACAGAAGGCCAAATAGTTAAAGGCAAACAGATAAAAGAAAGGAAGAAAATAATGTGGGATAAAGGCTAAAGCCAAAAATAACATTAACATCTTGTAATTTACAGCCCAGTAAAAAGGTTAAGTAGTAATAGCTAATCCAACCTTCTAATATCCAAAGTAATCACTATCAACGATATCTCAAGCAAACATCAAAATACAAATAAAAAAATAAAGTAGGGTGTATGTGTTGTGCAATATGAGGAGAGATTAGAATTCAAGATGAAAAAAGACACTGCAAAAGGCGATCAATCATTGCCACATAAAGAAAACCCAATATGTCGTCATATTGGAAAGGCTCACCTGGCCAACCCACTGCCGAAGGCTAACAATGTGCTCCCTTATTTGCTCTGGAGTAAACAATTCAGTGAGTGATACACCTTTGATCTTTGGTTTTCCTGATTTACTTCCACCTTCAGGGTCAGCTTGTGGGGCATTTACTTCCTGCTTAACTTCTACAGCTTGATCCATCTCTTTTTCAACAACAGTTTCTTGCTTAGCATGACCGTCAATTTCATTGAGAAACATAGGTTCAAGATCAGTCCTCCCAACATGTAGATTCTTTGAATGATCACCTTCTGAGTCACCAAAGATGGGAAGATGTCCTCTCCCAGATCCTATTGACGAATCAATTTTCACTTCAACAACCTCAAACTCGGGCTTAGAAGGCATGACTAACTCAGCTTGGTGGGAGCCTTGGAATTGTTTGTCCAATGAAGCATTAGGCAGGTTCATGGGAGGAAGAGAAACAGGAGAAGTTTCTCTCTTGGGTACAAGTGAAGGGAAGGATTGTGGAGCCTTCAAGCGTTTTGGTGATGATTCTGGCGCATCAGAAGTTTCAAAAGGCACAGAGCCATTCTTACTAGTCAAACTATCGTTGCTTGTTGTGCTGATAAATTTCCATGATTCGTTTCTCTGAACTTCTATACAAGCATTGGAATGAGGCACATTCCGTGCTTTACGATGGGAGGCTACAAATTTACGTACAGTAATGCATACCGGACAAGCCTCTGTTTGGCATTTACGAAAATGGCGAAGAAGACGTTTTGACTGATAACAACGAGGAAGCCCACATTGTTGCGAGTTACACCTATCCATGTGCAACCATAATTCTTGAACCGTTACGCAATTAGGTTCTTGGCATGACCCTTTAGGAGCTGAACATCTACGAGAATGAAGCAAAAGAAGCAACCACCTCATCTGGTTATGATAATTCCTTTTCTGTGTAGAGTTTAGTTCACAAACTAATCCACTCGATGGTTGTGGGACAGTAACACTTTGCATTGCAGGAGCATGAACAGAAAAACCGTCTGAAGACATTTTAGGTTGTTGAGCTTCATCCTGTCCATTAATTCTCTGGTGGAGTTCCTCTTGCAACTGCTTCTCAAGTAACAAACTGTCAGCTATTTGTGATTTTTGTTGCAGCTGAGGGTTCCAATGCTGCTGAAATGCATCAGGTTGTGATGCAGTCAAGAGATGGCTAAAGTCATTTTGTGATTCGGTAGCCTGCAGCATATGCTGAGAACCTTGTGATAAAGAAGGTCGAAAATCCTGCGAACCAGAGAATTGACCAAGAAACTGAGTATCATTAGAAAGGTTGCTGATAGGAGTATTATTCTGGAATTGATTTTGACCCTCTGACAGGTGAAGTTGCTGGGTGGCGTGAGGGAGCAATGACTCAATATAGGATCCAGTACCATGCTCTTGTGGCAACTGCCCCCCAATATTAGATGATGTAGAAGACTGCCTTAAGGTGTCGGTCTTTGGTATAAGTTGTTGACCGTGGTTTCCTTGAGCATGTTGCTGATGCTGGTGTTGAACGAGCTTTTCATAGGACTGATGAGGCTGCTGAAATTGCTTAGATTGAAAATTTTGCATTTGTTGTTGTGAATGGAACAAATGGTCCTGGGATGTTTGCGGTGTTTGGAAATTCATATGTTGTGAACTATCAACCATTGGAGTCTTAACGTGTGAAGGCTGTAGTGACGACGGCAAACTAGAATGATGAGTTAAGACTCCGTGGTTAATTCTTGGTTTTGAATGCAAAGTCATGGAATTTGTTTTTTGGCTGTTATTAACTGTAGATGCATAAGATGATGCAGAACCATACAAATTCCTAGAATCTGATAAATCAGCTGCATTTGGATATCCATGACCTCCTGCAGGCAACAACTGCTGTGACAATGATGCTGCAAGGAAGAAAAAGAGAATTTTAGTATACTTCTTGCAAGTCACAAATAGCAAAGGAAATGTATAAACGTAAAAGAAAAAAAGGAGCAAGGTGCAAGTGGAAAAACATGCAACAACGAGAAATGGATTAATGAGATATGACGATGGACATTACTTGGTACTACTTGCTGGCGATGATGTCTGTCAAAATGTTGATGTAAAGATTTTGGAGAACTAACATAAGAAGCAGTGCTCGGGTACCCCTCAGGTGCTTCAAGCCCATTCACTGACTGGACATTACTTCCAATTAAACCTAAACTGTTACCCAGAACTCCATTTGGAAGCCCGTATGCTGAAGCCTTCTGTTGCATATTAGACCTCATCCCAGCTCCTCTTTGGCCTCCAAGGGTTTGCAATATACGACTGTTTTGACTTCCAACATATTGCTTTTGCTGTGGTTGATGAGAGACCATAGTCGCATCAATGTTGGACAATCCACCTCCATGAGAGCGTTCAGAGTTTATTGGCATTGACTGTGCATTGTTTAATCCAGGAGTTGGCATCATTTGACTTGATTCCTGCGATATGCCAGTAGATGGCATCATACTGCTTCCACCAGAACCATGAGCAACATTAACAGGTGATTGTTGGTAACCACTGGGACTAGGTTCTGCAAAAGAAGACCAGTCACTGTTGGCAACAGTTAAGATGAAAAAGATGAAATGTAAGCAAAGACTTAAGCAATTACAGCCATTTGATGCATTAAAAGAGGCAATGTTACCAACACTGGCGGAACCATATGGAGTAGGTAGTAAAGTCCCAGAATTTGTGGTTTGCACCACCATACTTGTACCGCTGGTATTCCTCGATGTGTTTTCCATATTCACTACTGTGTTTAGACTGCTGCCGCTATGAAGCATACCAGGTGTTGGTATCATCGTACTAATGGCAGAGGAAGATGATATATGTTGAGACGATTGTTGACTGCTTTGTACATTCCTCAATATAGACTGTAATTGCTGATCAATTTTCGCCACCGTCATGTTCATATAATCTTCCTGAAAAAAAAATATAACGATAAGAAAGGAAAATGCATAGTTAACAGAGTGCGCGAAGTTGAGTCGGTAGCTTCATATATTTTACTGAAGGAAGAGCCTGTCATACAAATGCTGCAAACAACTAATCTATGCAGCATATGTTAAAAGATGAATAAAATGTTGAATTGGCAAAAAATAGTTCTGTAGCAACAGAAAAGAACATAATCTGCAAGAAGACAGAACCTTTGAGGGGGCATCCTTAAATATGCGCTCCTCCAATTTCCTAGAAATATCTGGTAACCTTTGTATCCATTCGCCGTATGGATTACTCTGCCTTCTCAGGAGACACTGACTGCTGTAAGAAGTGAGGGGAAAAAAACCTAAAAACACTTGCACATTTAAGGCACAATGGAAATTTTAAGAATTCCATATTTCGTATAAGAGAGTATCCAAATAGAATACAACAAAAACAGACTAGAACAATATCATTCTCAAATACATTACTAACAAATAATTAGTAAGCATACAACTTTCAGTTTTGAATGGACAGAATCTAAATAATGTTGACCTGGGTAAAAAGAAAGTAATGGCATTCTTGTATCATGTAGTTCCATAGATCTATATTAAATTGTATCAAATAAGAAATGCATAACTAAGTTCAGTGATAGGCAAAGAATGGATGCCAGGAAAATAATACAACAGTTAAACATGTACTGACTGGAAATGGTGGCTGCATTGCTTTTGCCAGTAACAGTGGCTAAAGTATACAAAAGGGACTGCAAGATGCAATCTGAGCAGACTACAGCTCTCTTAAATGTCATGTTACACTGTAAAGTAGGTTTTTAAGAGGATAAGTTTCTAAACTTTTATGCTTAAAAAGAGGATAGTTTATTAGGAGCGAGCTACACTGTGATTGGTTATACCAATTAAAACTTAACATATAAATCTCTCTAAGTAATTTTATGCTCTGTGTTCACTAATAAATGCGTAGAACCATCTAGGTTCCACAAGTGAATGCTCAAGGAGAACCAGAAGGTTCTGTAGATAACTAACAGTATATATGTTCCACAAATAGAGGGTAATTTATTTACTGGAAATGGGCACAAGGCAGCTCAAGATGGAACAAATTGATATTCTATGAGAAGAAATCTTTTGTTTGCCAATAAAAGCTAATGTAAAACAACTGATGCATAACTTTTCATTCACTACACTTACATTGTGTAAAAGCTAATGTAAAACAACTGATGCATAACTTTTCATTCACTACACTTACATTGTGTCCTGCATCTTCTTACGACTCATCAGAAGATCAGGATCCATACTGTAAGAACCAATGTTTTGCATCTAGGAAGCTAGAGTAGCCTTTCTGCTGTTATAGACCAGAAAATTTTAGGTTTCGGTTTCCTTGGCTGGTCCAGATGCACGGGTTTTGGGCGGGCATGCAAGCATACGCTGTTAAGTAGGAAGCACCAGAAAGGCATAGAGACACACCAGCCCCATATCTCTAGGCTAGAACTACTACACCCACATCATGTGCTCTAGCATCAAGGACGAGTTCCTTCAAATACTGAAAAAATATAATAATAAGTCCTCCATAAAATCATGATGGAAGAACTTGGAATACAACTTTACTTGCCAGACTTTTAAGCAGTTGAATTAGCAACAATTAATACCTAATCACAATATTTGTTAAAGAAACATGTTATCTACTACAAAATAAGAAAGAATTATATTGCAGCGGGCTTCAAATTTTTGCTGGAATAGGCAAATTTAGGAAATAAACATAAGTTTCTATTTCCTGTAGTGTTCTCCCAATTTAAGCAATCATTAAATCCATAAATAAAGAACCAAATCAACAAAATGGGTAATTAAAATTGTGTTCTTTCTTTTATAGCCATGTCCAGAAACTCGAAAAAGAACCAAGCTTTTTGAAGAATTTCAAATGGGTTTTATATAACAAAAGAAAATCTATTACATAAGAAAAAGAAACAAACTTTAGGACTTTGCAAAGAGGATGAAGATTCGAGGAAACTGACATCTTATAATGAGGAGCAAATACCAATTGATGCAATTGGGGGTGTTCTTACACCAAAAGAAATAAAAAAAAACAATTTCATAGCCACCAACACATCTTAAATATTCTTCATTTTCTACTGTCTTAAGAGGAAATACTTTCCAAAGGTTGATTTGGGGACAAAACAGTCTTCTAGTATCCAACTAGTCCTGTTTATTTGTATTTGCTTGTGGTTGTGGATTTGTGTTTGTCAATTTTTCTCACTTGTATATTGACTTTTTATTGATTTGATATTGAGAGAAAGGGTAAGTCAATCCGCATATGTTGATCACAAAGACCATCATTTCAAGCATTTGCAAAATAGGAATCCAAATTGAAGATATCTACAAAATATTAATTCAAATTAATTGCATGATTTAAAAGCTAATTAAGCAAACCTAATATACAATTGATGATTAGCTAAATATAGAAAGATATTCACAAGAGATCTCACAAAACTCACTGCAATCTTAAACCAAATCAATCAGTCAAGATCTAAAATCAGATTTTAGAAGCATAACACCCCTCGAATTTAATCTAAAATCTCAGGCCCCGTTTGGCAAAGGGTTAAAGAAGAAGGGTTAAAGAGAAGGATTAATGTACTTAGCCCATTTGATAATTTGAGGCCCCGTTTGGCAAAGGGTTAATGAAGAGGGGTTAAAAAGAAGGATTAATGTACTTAGCCCATTTGATAATCCGAAGGACTAAATTATTAACCCGTTAAATAAGTTTTATTTTAGCCCTTATGATCAGTTTTAGTGTTTGAGAATAACAATGATTTTGACTATTTTCTTTATAATTAGAAGGGTTAACTCCTATTCCATCTAAATAGGAGTATTAGTAAACCCCTCATTTTGAGGGGTTAACTCATTTTAACCCCTCTAGAAGGGTTAACTTAACCATTCTATATTTTTTATGTTTGACAAATTATGGAAGGTTAACTCACTTTAACCCTTAGATAGATTTGTTGTGTTTGGCAGGTTAAGAAGGGGTTAAGTCTCCTTAACCCCTCACTTAACCCTTTCCCAAACGGTACCTGAATGACTAAATTATTAAACCATTAAATAAGTTTTATTTTAACCATTGTGATCAGTTTTAGTGTTTGGGAATAACAATGATTTTGACTATTTTCTTTATAATTAGAAAGATTAACTCTTAATCCTTCTAAATAGGAGTATTAATAAACCCCTCATTTTGAGGGGTTAACTCATTTTAATCTTAATCCTTCTAAATAGGAGTATTAATAAACCCCTCATTTTGAGGGGTTAACTCATTTTAATCCCTCTAGAGGGGTTAGCTTAACTCTTCTATATTTAACTCATTTTAATCCCTCTAGAGGGGTTAGCTTAACTCTTCTATATTTTTTATGTTTGGCAAATTATGAAGAGTTAACTCACTTTAACCTTTGTATAAAAATTGTGTTTGGCGGGTTAAGAAGGGGTTAAGTCTCCTTAAACCCTCACTTAAACTTTTGCCAAACGGTACCGGGGGGGAAATCTAATTCCACACAAAAAACCTTATTCGGATCAAATAACAAGATCAAAAAATGAATTAAGATTATAGAAACTTAATACCCTTGAATGGCAACGGGTGACGGCGACGGCGACGGGTTTTGGGGGAGAACTCGGAAGCGACAGCGAAGGGATCTGGGCGACAGCGGCAGCGACGGGTTTTGGGAGAGAACTCGACACGACAGCGAAGGAGTCTAGACAATGGCAACGGGTAGGGAAGGCAGCGACGGCGCTTGGGGGACACAGGGACGGCGTAGTCGCAAGGCGCTGGTGAGGACGAGATCTGAAGCTTGGGTCAGATGATTTGGGGAAATGAAAACGTAGGGCTTTAAACGTAGGACTTATTTCTCAAACGCGTATTGTTTTGTTTTTTTTCAAAAACAAAACAGAAACGCCACAAGCATCCTAGTTATCAAACATAGACTAAGAAAATGAGATTGCAAGTTAAATTTAACGCAAAAGAATTTTCTTTAACCTCATTCGCGGTTCTTTTTTCCCTTGTAATTGTTTGCTTATCAAAAAGAATTAAAATTGCAGTTGTTCAACATGAGCAGGTAAGCATGGGACGTGGGTGTAACAATTCAACATTACAACTACAAAAATCAAGAATTTAGAAAGAAAATGTATAAAAAGTAAGAATTTAAGAAATAAGTCGAGGAAAAATGAAAAAAAAAAGTAAGGGATTGCGTAGTTGTAGGACCTTCGCGTTTTCCTCCTCTCGATGTGCGAAGTTCGTCTTCCGATTGAATTCGTCGTCGATCTGTCACTTTTTCACGCTAATCTTGCCCGAAATCGTCTTCAAATTGAATAATCGGAGAATCGCTAGGGTTAGGGTTTTGGAGAACAGGGGACGAATTGACGAGAGAAAGGGAGCTGATTTGGGGAAGAAATTGGGTGTACGGGGTACTTACAAGGGGTTTTTTGGTATAGGCGCTTAGATCTTTAATATTTTGACTTAGTCCCTCAAACGGTTGAAATTGCCATTAGATTCCTCAGATAAAGAGACAAACTTAAGGGTATTTAAGTGAAAATTTTAAGAACTTAAAATATTTAAATGCAAATTTTATAAACTTTAAAGTATATAAGCACCGGTAAAAACAAGTGAGGGTATAAAATTGGAAGTTTTAAAAATATTAGGGTATATAAATGTTGCTAGAAACAAGTGAGGGTATATAAGTGTGATGTTGGGGAACTATAAGATATTTAAGTGCAATTAAACTCTCAAAAAATGGGACCAACTTTGATCGTACTCACATTTTAGGAAGAAAGATATTTAACAAAAACTTTTTAGCTGGACTAGGTTTTATGCATGTGCAAATGCATGTGGTTAAATATTATGATTAAGTATTTTTGATTTATTTCTTTACTAAAATTTGTTTCTCATTTTTACTTTGATTGTTTTTTTTTCACTTATGTCCGATTATTTATTTTCTTGGGAAAAATGTGTCCACGCCCTAAAAACAAAAACTTCATGTGACAAAGCCCCTCATATTTTTCCCCATGTGGATCAGCCCCTTGAAATGTGACACTTTGTACTGCAGCCTCTTTTTATTAATTATCACATGCCAGTTAAAGTAAAATTTCCAAACTATCCTTATCCTCTCTCCTCTCTGACCCAGCACTCACATCATCTCTCTCTCATCTCTCCTCTCCTCTCTCTCTCATCTCCTCTCTCTTTTTTTCTCTCTCTCTCATCTCTCTCTAAAACTAAGAGCTTTATTAAGCTCGTCGTCCTAGCCGAGACGCACAGAGCATTAATCTATTAGCTAGAAGAAGAAAAGAAAAAAAAGAAAAAAAGAAAAAAAAGGTAAGGAGAAGTAGAGTAGAAGGGGAATGAAGAGAAATATCGTAATTAAGAAATAACGAAAATGTGTATTAATGTATCTCTATGAATGAAATTGCCACGGTACCGCCGAGCGATATTCGAAACAATATAACGAGAGGTAGAAAATGAGCCCAAATGCAAGAAAGATACCGTGTGATAGACAATATAAAGGGCTACACACCGGCGCAGACGGTAGTGAAAACGGAGACCGGAGGTGGCCGTAAAACACGCGCGAAGTCGGCACGGCGCTGCTGTTTTCTGCTCGCTGCTGCCGCCGAGCGATGTTTCGGATGTTACCGAGAGATATAGAGAATGAGTTAGAGCGTGATACAAATTGGAGGTGATAGGCAACATGTAGGACTACTCACCAAAGAAGAAATCGACGAAAACCGAGATTGGAGGCGATCAGAAAGTGCGTGCGAATTCGGCACAAAACTATAGTTTTCTGTAGTGCAATTTCTCGCCGTTCGGGTTTATTCTTCGCTGTTCGGAGATTTTCGCCGCTGTCCGGGCTTACCGGAGGTGGGAGGAGGTTGTCGGGGATGCTAAGTTGTTAATTCTGGGTTCCACGTTAGTTCTAGCCCACATCCCACCAGTTCTAACTTGTATCCCACCAGTTCTAGCCCACATCTTGCTAGTTCTAATCAAAGCCCTTGTTTTTTTCATGCTAAGTTGTTAATTCTGGGTTCCACGTTAGTTCTAGCCCACATCCCACCAGTTCTAACTTGTATCCCACTAGTTCTAACTTGTATCCCACCAGTTCTAGCCCACATCTTGCTAGTTCTAATTAAAGCCCTTGTTTTTTTCATGCTAAGTTGTTAATTATAGGTTTCACGTTAGTTCTAGCCCACATCCCACCAGTTCTAACTTGTATCCCACCAGTTCTAGCCCACATCTTGCTAGTTCTAATCAAAGCCCTTGTTTTTTTCATGCTAAGTTGTTAATTCTGGGTTCCACGTTAGTTCTAGCCCACATCCCACCAGTTCTAACTTGTATCCCACCAGTTCTAGCCCACATCTTGCTAGTTCTAATCCATCTCTCCTCTCTCTCTCTCATCTCCTCTCTCTCTCTCTCTCACCTCTCTCTAAAACTAAGAGCTTTATTAAGCTCGTCGTCCTGGCCGAGACGCACAGAGCATTAATCTATTAGCTAGAAGAAGAAAAGAAAAAAATAAAAAAAGAAAAAAAGAAAAAAAGAAAAAAGAAAGGTAAGGAGAAGTAGAGTAGAAGGGGAATGAAGAGAAATGCCGTAATTAAGAAAGAACGAAAATGTGTATTAATGTATCTCTATGAATGAAATTGCCACGGTGCCGCCGAGCGATATTCGAAACAATATAACGAGAGGTAGAAAATGAGCCCAAATGAAAGAAAGATACCGTGTGATAGACAATATAAAGGGCTACACACCGGCGCAGACGGTAGTGAAAACGGAGACCGGAGGTGGCCGTAAAACACGCGCGAAGTCGGCACGGCGCTGCTGTTTTCTGCTCGCTGCTGCCGCCGAGCGATGTTTCGGATGTTACCGAGAGATATAGAGAATGAGTTAGAGCGTGATACAAATTGGAGGTGATAGGCAACATGTAGGGCTACTCACCAAAGAAGAAATCGGTAAAAACGGAGATTGGAGACGATCAGAAAGTGCGTACGAAGTCGGCACAAAACTATAGTTCTAGACCACATCCCACCAGTTCTAACTTGTATCCCACCAGTTCTAGCCCACATCTTGCTAGTTCTAATCACAGCCCTTGTTTTTTTCATACTAAGTTGTTAATTATAGGTTCCACGTTAGTTCTAGCCCACATCCCACCAATTCTAACTTGTATCCCACCAGTTCTAGCCCACATCTTGCTAGTTCTAATCACAACCCTTATTTTTTTCATGCTAAGTTGTTAATTCTGGGTTCCACGTTAGTTCTAGCCCACATCCCACCAGTTCTAACTTGTATCCCACCAGTTCTAGGCCACATCTTGCTAGTTCTAATCAAAGCCCTTGTTTTTTTCATGCTAAGTTGTTAATTCTGGGTTCCACGTTAGTTCTAGCCCACATCCCACCAGTTCTAACTTGTATCCCACCAGTTCTAGCCCACATCTTGCTAGTTCTAATCAAAGCCCATATTTTTTTCATGCTAAGTTGTTAATTCTGGGTTCCACGTTAGTTCTAGACCACATCCCACCAGTTCTAACTTGTATCCCACCAGTTCTAGCCCACATCTTGCTAGTTCTAATCAAAGCCCATGTTTTTTCATGCTAAGTTGTTAATTATAGGTTCCACGTTAGTTCTAGCCCACATCCCACCAGTTCTAACTTGTATCCCACCAGTTCTAGCCCACATCTTGCTAGTTCTAATCAAAGCCCTTGTTTTTTTCATGCTAAGTTGTTAATTATAGGTTCCACGTTAGTTCTAGCCCACATCCCACCAGTTCTAACTTGTATCCCACCAGTTCTAGCCCACATCTTGCTAGTTCTAATCAAAGCCCTTGTTTTTTTCATGCTAAGTTGTTAATTCTGGGTTCCACATTAGTTCTAGCCCACATCCCACCAGTTCTAACTTGTATCCCACCAGTTCTAGCCCACATCTTGCTAGTTCTAATCAAAGCCCTTGTTTTTTTCATGCTAAGTTGTTAATTATAGGTTCCACGTTAGTTCTAGCCCACATCCCACCAGTTCTAACTTGTATCCCACCAGTTCTAGCCCACATCTTGCTAGTTCTAATCAAAGCCCTTGTTTTTTTCATGCTAAGTTGTTAATTCTGGGTTCCACATTAGTTCTAGCCCACATCCCACCAGTTCTAACTTGTATAATTAACAACTTAGCATGAAAAAACAAGGGCTTTGATTAGAACTAGCAAGATGTGGGCTAGAACTGGTGGGATACAAGTTAGAACTGGTGGGATGTGGGCTAGAACTAACGTGGAACCTATAATTAACAACTTAGCATGAAAAAACAATGGCTGTGATTAGAGCTAGCAAGATGTGGGCTAGAACTGGTGGGATACAAGTTAGAACTGGTGGGATGTGGGCTAGAACTAACGTTAGAACTGGTGGGATGTGGGCTAGAACTAACGTGGAACCCAGAATTAACAACTTAGCATGAAAAAAAAGGGCTTTGATTAGAACTAGTAAGATGTGGGCTAGAACTGGTGGGATACAAGTTAGAACGGGTGGGATACAAGTTAGAACTGGTGGGATGTGGGCTAGAACTATAGTTTTGTGCCGACTTCGCACGCACTTTCTGATCGTCTCCAATCTCCGTTTTCACCGATTTCTTCTTTGGTGAGTAGCCCTACATGTTGCCTATCACCTCCAATTTGTATCACGCTCTAACTCATTCTCTATATCTCTCGGTAACATCCGAAACATCGCTCGGCGGCAGCAGCGAGCAGAAAACAGCAGCGCCGTGCCGACTTCGCGCGTGTTTTACGGCCACCTCCGGTCTCCGTTTTCACTACCGTCTGCGCCGGTGTGTAGCCCTTTATATTATCTATCACACGGTATCTTTCTTTCATTTGGGCTCATTTTCTACCTCTCGTTATATTGTTTCGAATATCGCTCGGCGGCACCGTGGCAATTTCATTCATAGAGATACATTAATACACATTTTCGTTATTTCTTAATTACGATATTTCTCTTCATTCCCCTTCTACTCTACTTCTCCTTACCTTTCTTTTTTCTTTTTTTCTTTTTTTCTTTTTTTATTTTTTGAGAGAGAGAGAGAGAGGAGAGATGAGAGAGATGATGTGAGTGCTGGGTCAGAGAGGAGAGAGGATAAGGATAGTTTTAGAATTTTACTTTAGCTGACATGTGATAATTAATAAAAAGGGGCTGCGGTACAAAGTGTCACACTTCAAGGGGCTGATCCACATGGGAAAAAATATGAGGTGCTTTGTCACATGAAGTTTTTGCTTTTGGGGCATGGACACATTTTTTCCCAAGTTTTTAATATATAGTAACATGGATACGTGTTTTAACAGTTAATCAAAACCACGGTTAGCAATTTGAATGATCTGAGGGACCTATTAGCAAATTCGATATTTGAGGGACTAATTCAAGTTGTTCAAGACAAGGAACCAACACCGAAATTACCCTTTCTGATATTACAAATATAATAATGTTACGTTCTCAGAGGTTCTATACTTTTTTTTGGTTGGCACTAGGGGCACACCCCCAACCACATCCCAAATCACACCCCCTCTCTTATATGCTACAGTACACCGGCCCCATATAAGATTTTAAAATTTTAAAATCTCATATGAGTCCCGGTGCACTGTAATATATGAGAGAGGGAGTGTGGTTTGGGATGTGGTTGGGGGTTTGTCCCTATCATTTTCCTTTTTTTTTAGGGAGGCTTTAATTGTGGCGGGACTCGGTACATCTTACCAAACATGCTATGAACATAAAATATCAAGATGAACGCACAAAACAGAACTGAGAATGACGATGCTCTACTGAGCCGGTTAAATTTTCTATAACTTACGTAAAACGTAAAACTTTAATCAATTTACATTAGCAACGAATTCCCGTGACAGGAAATATTGCGCTTAATTGGCCTCTGCAGTTATTAGCCATGTTATGTATGATGCATCCATAAACCCCAATAAAGAACTCCCTCTCTTTCATCTTCACCTAAAAATATTTGCATCCGGTAACCATTCTCGCTATAGGAGAGAGCATTATGGCTGCTTTGGGGTTGGTCTCAAATAGCAAAATTGATCCTTCAGATATCTGCTTCACTTAAGTTGCTGAACTTCTGAATGCAAAAGAACAACAATACGATCGTCGTATACAGTAAGTTAGTGAAAACTTGGTAGCCCATACCGTCTCCCGAGCTCCTGCTAGGATCTGAATATCTCCCTCTTAATCTCCAATATCTGTGAACATTTAAGATGAAAAAACTCAGTAGGAGAGGTTGTCAAGATAGCTACGCCCGTGGATTCATCACCCCAAAACCCCAGACGAAGGACAACTGGAACTACATGATAGAAAACATAAAAAGTGATCGCAGATAGTGCTCGTGAAGAAGGTGTTTACACAACATTCTTTGGAAAATAGGACAACATGCACCAACTTAGGAGAAAGAGTAAGATTATAAGTTACAGGGCGAGAAGTAGATAATGACCTCCATGAACTTGGTTGAGAGCAACTAGGAAGGATAACGATGATAGTGGTTAACTTAATGGAGGAGAAACCATTAACAGAACTGGATGGAAGAATATGAGTCATACAGCCAATCTCCAATATTTCAGATGAAGGCTTGTTGTTAGTGTGATATAGTAGTATGACGAGAAAATAGGACTAGTCTCGACTTACCTGAAAAAAAATTCTAGGAAACTTCTTCGGTAATAGCTTCTTGGTCTACTAGTACCTCCTTAAGGGAAAGAACATCATCACGTGGGTGAGCCTCTTCTATAACAACTTCTATTTCGTCGCCGATCAGGTTTCCGACTGAAACGGATGCAGAAGCTTGAATTCCTACCTGTAAAGAGACTAGCAGTGAAGACAAAAGGGCACAGAACATACATCTGCACAAACACAAAGATGCACTGTGGAAGAAGACAGGTTACAGCTATTGACGTGCAAAAATATTTACACATTCTCACTTGTAGTTTGCGCTTTGCTCACTGAACACTATTTAGTATTACCAAAAAAACTGCTGCTTTTGATAAGCGTTTATATACACACACATATTGCCATATTAGTAGCTGAGAAACTTCTTCCTGTATCAATAGAAGGGCTAATTGCAGATATACTCCATGTACTATGGCTAGCCACTTTGGTATACACCCTAAACATTTTTTTTAATCACTTAACACCCCAGAATCTCAGTTAGAAGCACTTTCCCCCTCAATTTAGAGGAGAATTTAGCTTTTTCCAAATTAAACTGACGACAAGAAGTAATTCATCATCATGTGATTCCAATGTGTCTCAACCAAACTACATAAATAATATTGTCTGGTGTGTAAGCGCAATAAAATAATTTAGGCAGTATACACGGCTACACCGTCATAGCATAGGAGGGGGTATTTGCAATTCAACCTAAGGCAATCATAAGTTATGAATGATACTCTTCAAAAGTTTCAGTAACTAGTGAAAAGCACACCACTATAAGGAATATCCCACATTATTATTAAAGTAATGAGCATTTAGTTGCATAAGGAGGCGAAAGCACCATTCCTCAGGGTCAAGGTAGGAGAGTGTTATGTCTGGCGTCAGACATTTACCTCAACTAGAAGTATGGCTGCCACCCTATCTTTGATGAACCTGAGTATTAAAGCACGGAACTTTCTTCCCCTCGTCTGTCTTCTCAAATACTCCAGTAACCAGTATCTTAGATTGCTATTATAAAGCCTCCTAGCAAATTTAACATGCATGTTAACTAGGCATGTTATTCCCTCTAACTCGCCTGACGAAAATGGAAGAGGCTCGTTTCTAAGAAAAGCCTTGATCTGAAAGCAGAGTAATTTCAAGTTAAAAAAACACCAAGAGATGTAATTAAGTACCAAAAAAGAAACTACAAGCAGTACGAAAACATTTAAAAAATTTGTAGCAAAAACAAGAGGCAACACGAAGTTGTAGCTCTAAGCACTACGCATGTAATAGTCCTAATTCTGTTCCATAGGAAGTTAATTAGTTCTTTTTAATAAGCTTCTTCAGATCCGAGCAATACATAACTAATCCAGGAATAGCATGTCAGAAAAAAATTACAGAGCCCTCTGGCTTAAAAGGGAAAGTAAAAGGAAATGTATAAGCCTGATCTATCCTTGTCCTAGCCCCTAAGTAATCCAGGTTCAGTGTGAAACTCAATATTCCAAAAAATTGACAAAACATACCTAGAAATATAGAATTAAACTATTTCACCTTATCGTCACCTCTCATTACTCTATTTGAAAGGGTAAATGGACATAAGGGTTGCCTGCACAAATCGGAAGAATATTCTGCAACCTAGAGCAAATCCGAATAATACTTTTCAACCTAGAGCTGAGAATAGACTTGGGTCATATCCCAAAGGACTCAAACCAGAGACTCTTTGATGCAAAAGGAGAAGGGTAATAACCCAGCTCAAGAATGGAGGCACAAAGTAGAAATCTACAGCTGAAAAGCCCTTCGGAACATCGCTCTTGTTACTCACAGACAATCGAGTTAAGGGATTAGTGAACATCAAAAGAGTTATCCTCAGGAACCTCTTTACTAGCTTGTGTTGTACTTTGGTAGAATGATAAATCATTCTGCAAGTCTTTCATTGTTCTTTCTATAAGACCAACAATCATGGGGGGAAATGCTTTCAAAAACAAAACAAATAGGAAAGGAAACATGAGCACTTCTAAATTCTAATGACATTTGATTCAGAAATCTACTTTTCCCTGTTCTTATACCAAGTTGGTACACAGTTCATACAAAGAATGAACTTACAAAGTAGTGGATATCTAATAATGGCCCAAGCATATTCTTACCATAAATTTTACTAGAATGTTTCAAGTATTTAATATGACTGAGAGAACATACCTGATAGTGGGCTAGAAGATCAACATATCTACGGATAGGAGAAGTGAATTGTACATATGAGAGAACATACCTGATAGTGGGCTAGAAGATCAACATATCTACGGATAGGAGAAGTGAATTGTACATAACCAGGAACACCAAGAATATCTACGGATAGGAGAAGTGAATTGTACATAACCAGGAACACCAAGAACGCCGTGACGAATCGGTTTCTTAAAATCCATCTCTGCTGCACGCATAATTCTAACGAAAGCAGCACTCCTGACAGGTCCTTCCGGGAGATGGGAAAATGCTGATGATGATATATTTGACTGGGGTTGCCCCCTGTATGGTAAAGGAATATTGTTGTGTGAACCAAATGTGGCTACAACTTCCCCACACAGTATCATCATTTCAGAAACAAGTCGCATTGCAAGGTCTGATTGGTCTTCCACATACAAATTGATGGAAGGTTCAGGATCATCAGCATTGACCACCTTGATGCGTGGCTCAATTGTAGTTGTGTCGATCGCACCCTGCGTATACATTTTGTAAATTATCTCAAAGAAATTATAGGCATTATCACAATAGATCCAAAAGGTAAGTGAATTCTTTGGTCTATTGAACTTCTAACTACAGCATTCTCCAGTGGCAAGGATTGAGCAGACATGTGCATTTCACAAATGCATGAAATGGAGATAATGCACCGGATCTTTGCAAACTGGGATGGTTATGATAGTGGCAAAATGGAATTTCCTCCTTTGACATATACAAATTTCATTAAAAACAAGAGGGCTGAAACATGCATTTCAGTATTCCATCTACCCATCACACAATTCCATCAACCATAAAATTCTTACACAAATATCTGGAGGGTTGAGAAGATAATAAGTCACCCACATATTGAATTCACAATAATTGCATGTCCCATTTAGCCAGTCCAAATAAAGTGGTTGATCCATCTGAGGTGTCATCTTAGAGTCATGCTAATAACTTACTACAGTTTATTTGGAGAAGATGATAGTGGTGGCAGTGCAGTGGCGGATCTAGAGCCTTTTTAGTGGTGGTTCAAAATATGTGTTAATTTTTTTGTTCGAACGATATCCCTTTGATGCAATGATACTATAAAAACGTCCTTGTAAAGTTACATAAAGTAAATCTATTACATACGATTAATGAATGTATAAATTTTCATCCTAAGTAAATTAACTAAATCATTTGACATTAGCATACAAGCTTGGACTTAAGACTCTATACTTATGTGAGAGAGAGGGATGATGTGATACTAATTTGTTGTTAATTTATCTTCTATATTAAAGAAGCTTTATTATGTGAATTGTGAAATGTATAGTTTTTATGGAGGTTGACAATCAAAACAAATGGTAGATATATATTTGAGGTGGGATTGCATAACTATTCTTAGAAGTCCCTCTTCATTTGCTCTCTTCTTCTTTCTCTGCTTTTGTTTTTTGTGTAATTTTCTATTAACAAGGTATTTATTTACAAATTTGCAAAATTTCAGGTGGTTCAAGTGAACCACTTTGAACCTGAATAGGTCCGCCACTGTGGCAGTGATATTCAAGTTCTTTTAGAGTACTAATTATTGTTAGCTTCTAACCTTGAACTGTGACAATAAGCATGAGACGGACACATGTGACTGCCAATTTTGGAAGGACTAACTGAAGCATAACAGTTTATCTCAAGACGATAGCAGTAACACACGCATCAATGTACCTCATCACAGTTATGCTGATAACTTTTCCATCAACAGATAAACTTTGAAACATAGCAATTGCAGAGTAACATAGAGAGACACAAGAGAACAATCAGGCTTCCAAAAAATTGTCTTTTGAGAAATAAACACAAGGAAAATATATTGATCGGATGAGTCTTTGAAAACTAAAAACACCAGAAGAATATTATCTTAGGCTGAGACAACAACCTGGCTACGGCGCCATTGTAATCGGAGCAATGCAGCTTCAGACAAGAGTCTAAGTTCAGCCTCCTCTTCCAGGTTCAAGTGAAGCAGCTCTGTTGCACTCTCATATGTCAACATGTAGGTTGGTCTGATGATGGAATTGTCTATGGTGTATTCTGCAATGCTATGTACTCCAAATATATGTAATTGGCCCTAACTTTGAATGAAAAAGAAGAAACAAGAGTGCATTTGAATGTAAATAGAAAGTCGTAAATCTAGAAGTTACCTGCCATCTTGATGGAGAGTGACGGACACAGTGACAGCCTTGCAGAGCTTCCCTTGCTGCAAGCTCATGGACTCCATAGCAAGCTTTTCAGGAAACATTGGAAAGGTAGCAGTAGGCAGAAAAATGGAAGTTCCTCTTCGCAATGCCTCCCTAAGTAAATATAATAAAACTTTCTCAACCACAGTATAAATTTATATAGCTGGTGATTTTTTTCTAAGAAAAAGTGAATAACCTGTCAACTATGCTTTGACGTTTAACCAAACATGTAGGATCTGCAACATGTATCCAAATCCTTATCCTACCATCCTGCAGCCTCATTGCACTCAATGCATCATCGAGCTGCATTATCAACCAAATACTGATGATGTGAGGCAGGTCTCTACTAGTGGAATAAATATATGAAGAAAACATCAAGATGAAAATTTTGTTAAAATCGAATCTACAATCCATTAATAATGCATTCTTATAATACCTCATCTGCTTCATCCACGTCAATTGCATAGACTTTCAAGAACGTAAGATCTTTCCTGCTAACCTACAAGGCAACTGATGTTGAACAAACTGACACGGAAGGAGAAGGAAAGAGAAAGTACGCACCATTAGTTACCTCATCAAGGTCAGCAGATTGCATCATAAGATCTTCAGCAGCTAAGAGGACTTCATCACTATGCTCAGTACGAATGTTGAACTTTAAAAGATCCAGATTAACATGTACAGGGAAATATCCAATATCTATAAGGAGATTCACTGCAGCAGCTGATGTCTTTAACAGTCCCATTGCTTTAAGTATCTATCACAGTGTCAATCAACAAAAAAAGTACTTTCAGCAATATAACAATATACATCAGCACCTGAAATTGTTACAAGAAAGGATATGCATCTAAAGATAATCGGCGTTTCTTTTTGTGAGTAAGCAGCAAACAAGTTAAACAAGTTACCCTCATTTATAAAGAATATAAACAATATACATGGGAGATAGAAATTAAAGATTGATAGCTAAATATCAACTTATGATTTGACACAAAAAATAATGTAGTGACATGCATGTGAAGGAATAGAGTCATCTTACTATTTATCTGCTTTTGTGGTTGAGACACTACATGAAATTGAATTAAAATAAGAAATCATAAGAAACCACACAGAAGTTATTGAAAATTGTTACTAACTACTATATAGTCTGATCCTACACAAAAAAATACAAGGGGGGAAAAGAGGAGGAATAGAAAGCTAGCTAGCAATACATAAATTAAATATCTCAAATATAATGACTTAACCGATAATATATCATATTATATATATAATATATATATTATATATATATATATATAATATATATTATACACACACACCGACACACACACACACACACACACACACACACACACACACACGTTACATCACCCACACACCACACACACACACATACACACTAGCATACATATACAATACATCAATTAAATATCATCAAATATAATTGAAACCTAACCGTATATATATAATATATATATTATAATATTATATATATATATATAATATATATATATATGTGTGTTGTGTGTGTGTGTTGTGTGTGTGTGGTGTGTGTGTGTGTGAAAAACTTGTGTCAACTTAAGCGGATAGGGATAGTATGTCACCCAAAGTTATTTTAAAACACTTCTATTGAGCCTAGGTCCTTTGTACTATATGAAAATTGTGTTTTTATATTAATAAATGTGTGAGCTAGGAACTTTGCGTGGAACATCACTTAAGTTGGATAGAATGTCTTGCTCTCTCGCTCTCTCGTCTCTCTATATATATATTATCTCTCTCTTCTCTCTCTCTCTATTATATATATATATATATTATTTATATATATATACTTATATATAGAGAGAGGAGGAGAGCAGAGACGAGAGAGAGAGACGAGAACGGGAGGTGACGCTGGCAGCGTAGGAAATTCCTACGTGCAGTGATATGACATGTGAGCCCCTCTCAGTCACATCGATGTGGGGCTCACATGCATTTACACTTGCAGCGTAGGAAATTTCTACGCTGCCAGCTCACCTCCGTTTTCTCATAATATAATATATATATTATTATATATTATTATATTATATATTATATATATTATATATATACGAGCACACGTACACGCGGCTACATGTACACACCCACGTACACAACAACCCACACCAGTACACGTACATGCGCGCGCGCACACACACAGACACACACACACAGACATACATACATACATACATATATACATACATACATAAATTAAATATCTCAAATATAAATGAACCTAACCTGTATACACACACACATACGTATGTATATATGTATATATGTACATACATATGTATGTATGTGTGTGTGTGTTACTTCATATATGAAGAGTCAGAATAATTACGTTTCCAGCAGTTTTCTTTTGTTCTTCATTCTCACATGCATCCACGGCATAAGCTTCAAGAGATTTTACCCACCGCTCGATGCTCTCTTCTGACGTCCATGAACTTTTAGGAGGCTTGGAGTGCACAGGCTTTGCCTTCGCAGATTTCAGTAACCCAACAAACTCTTGTAGTTCCTTCTCAGATTCCTCTTTAACCCGCTTCCGATGGGAAAGTTCTTCCACCTGCCACGACATTGAAAAATTGTTCATTTGCTCTAACACTAAATAAATTTTGAGATGTGTGGCAGACAACTATTTCTATGTTAAGAAAATTAGAAATTTCGTAACCAAAAGATGGGTGGCATATAGAAGTCCTATGGCTGTTTCCTAGATGATATGGAAATGACCTGAACAACAGGTCGAGGCTCATAAGCAGTGTGAGATCCCTTGCGCTCAATTTCATTAAAATAAATGTCATCTTTTGATAGCAAGAGGTGGGTACAGTAGCTCTCCAGAGACTCGCTGCTACCGTAAATAATCTGATGAAACAATAAACAATGAAAAGAAGAAGCAGTTTTTTTTCAAAATTTCAAATTCAGTAGCATAACTTAACAGACAAGGGAAAGTTTGTGCTAAATTGTACCTCTGCTAATTCTTCAACAGTTACTTGCTTTTTATTCTCCAAAAGTTCTGCCCAAGCATACTCTAGCATCGTAGGGTCCTTTCAGAAACCATCACAATAATTTAAATATTTGCATTCAAAGAACTATAAAATCGACAATCACATATATTGCCACCTACCAAGAGATCCTGAGCTTTATGAATAAATGCAGGAATATCCGTGTGATCAAAATCTTCAATACCAGGTACTATATATGTAACTTGCTGAGGCTTTATGGAGGAGACAGTGCCATTCTGTGTTGCATAAGGAAAATATTGGAGACATACAATCAGACAGAATGGCTCAAAGAAGTTGAAATCATAGACCATGATAAATAGAAAATATTTACATAAAATAAAATAAACACCTAACGACCATTTCAACAAGCCGCAGTGGTTATTTCTGTTAAAACCTGATCGTACACCATCCAGTTTTTCTTTCCATCAGGCTTCTGGGTTACTGCTAGCAACAATTTTTGTGGATCTTTTCGAAATTCAAGCAATAACCCTTTCTGGAGAACCCTCTTGCCTAGTTTTACTTCAGATAGCTCCTTACTGGCAGGAAATCCCACTCTGCAAAATTTTATAAATTAGTAGCAATATCTGGAACAGATATTTCATGATCAAATATAAATATTATATACCCAAAGAAATGTGTAAAGTGAGATCGATTTGATATATGGTATCATCTTCAAATTACAACTAGAATAATATGCTAAGAAAATGTTTTAATATTACTTATCAACTGAGATTATGCATAATGACTTAAACCTCACACAGTCCTTAAGTATATGTGCAACAGGTAAAATGAAGAATATGCCAAACTTAAGCATTTATTGTCTAGAATTTTCTATCACGTCATATATGAAGAAAAAAAAGAGTTCAAGAATTCAGCCAGAATCATATGCTTTCAAAATTACCAGTCCAAAAAAAAAAAAACAATTCCTTACTTCAGTCATAAATTTATGAAATCTCAAGGGAAGAACCAAAAAGGATACTACATTCCTCCATTAATAATAATTTAAGTAGCTTAAAACCTCAAAACCAACCATGTTTCAAACTGTTAGCAATCTCATCACATATACTTTCAAAATTACCAGTCACTGTTTTCGTTACTGCTAAAGTCCTTGTTGCTCCTTAGATACACAAACTTTACACCTCCCGCAACCTTAAGAAGATCAACATTTTGCATGGATTAGCTTATGTCTAAGATTAGTTGAGCCAAGCCTTATTTTATGGACAAAGACTGGTATTTTAGAAAGAGAAAACTAAATCTTCTAAGCAGAGACTCATTTTTCAGCTCATCACGCCCTTCACGACCTCTTAACTCCAGCACCCACTACTAGGGTCTGTGTGGCATGAGGAAACAGCAGCAAAAAAAAAACAGCGGACACACTTTTTTTATTAGTTTTTTTGGAAAAGGAAACTTAGCATCACAAAGATTCCAATAAGTGCTATATGCCGCATAGAACAATCTCTACTTTTCATGTGAAAAAGGAAGAAAAATAGTGAAACCCTAGCTTCCATATAATAAAAGCACACCTCACACCTACCAACAGTCACCAATACATGCAACATTAGTCGTAACTTGAAATTTCTAATTTCTCTCCAGTTTTCCTAGAAACAAACTGCTCGACTACAATCAATATAGAGCAGAAGCTTCTGTCATTCAGCGCTGCCCCTATCATTCTTGATTCGCATGTACTTTGTATGCATCGGTCTACCATGCCCGTATCTGTGTTGCTTGCTTTCTTATTTGAAACCAAAATATTGTATCAATAGTTTCTATAAAAACCAGAGCGTACTCGAGAATTGTTGTTTCAGCGGTCTCTGCGAATTTCACCGCTAAGCACAGCGGACTTTTGTGGGCTACTAAATTAGAATATTTCCCAACAATCGTTTCATTCACTCAACACTTGGATAATCTCGCAGAGTTACACTTTGCTGTACGTTCTAATAACAGCCCAGTACCTAAATAAATTGCACCTTAGAATAAACAGTCGCACTGATCACAGAATTTTTTTTCCCCCGCCAATTTTTCAGTGATGGGTTACCAACGCGAAGAAAATGAAACAAACTCTCGTGAATACCAGATTTGGGATTAAGAAAAAGAGAAAATAATAGCAAGATTACTTATTTAACGCCCGAAGCCGCTTTCGAGAACGGATTGATTCCAGCTCCTCCATAACCGACTCAACGAGGCTGTGAATTTGGCGAGGCGACGACCTCAATCGAAGGCTGAAACCGCTGCAGCGAGATCTCGAAAGGGGAGGGCTCCAGATTCCGAGGCCCGGAGACCGGATATGAGAAGGGCGGCGATGGGCGAAGAACCGATGGCAGATGAAGCCGCAGAGGGGAGGGGAGCAGAGGCCGGTCACCGCTCTGCTCGCCATCGGTGAGTTCATGAGAGAGGGAGAAACTATTAGGGTTTAAGCTGCAAAACCACCAGGGCTTTGGATGGAGCTCTGAGGGCGAGAGAACATGGAGGAGGAGATGATAAAGGCATTTCAGCGGGGAGAATTACGGGCCTGACCAAATTGACCGATACTGGGCCAGCTTGAGGCCTATTTAACTTAGCAATGGGCCTAAGGGTTATGCCTCAAAGAGGAAGGAATGGTGTTCAATGCGTGCAGTTGCATTTATGGCCCACTTTTAGAGCTAACCCATGCCTCAAAAACCTTGAGTAGGAGATGGGCTTCAACATGGGCCATTTCTAAGAGTTGCATTTTCCCAAGTTTTGCCTTCGTTTGACATTATTTTCTCTCATTGTCCATTTTTATCCAAACCTCTCTCATATTTATTGTCTTTTTCCATGGCTAAATGAATCCAACAAAACTACTCGTAATATATATTTTTAATTATAAAACCTAAAAGGGTGAGAACTCCAAACAATAATTTTGTCAATGGATATTTTATTTTTATAAATGATACTTGCATAAATTTTCTTGATCATTATAGAAAAGTGTACGAGGTTGAAATTACTTAATCGCATCTTTTACATGTTGTTAAGGGTGCAAAAAATATCTTGAAGAAATATAAGTATCCGTTAGGATACATACATGGTTAGTAGAATCTATAACCGAAAGGATATGGTAAGGAATATAGATATGTATTAAAATATTCGGATCGGTATATGAAATATTCGAATATATGTCGGTCATACGGTCACAATAGTTTATATCCTTCTATTAATGGATTTTGAAGTTAATTTTGATGATCAAGATATCTAATCTTAGCTTTTCAAGTATAACAAACATATTAATGAACTCTCGTGTAACGTATGGACTATACTTTTTCAATATTGTCTTGTTTTTTCATATCTGTTTTGTATTCTCATGTCTACCCGCTTACATATTCACATGCATATTTGTATCTGTATCTGATTATAGTAGGTATGGATATGAATTTTTCTTTTTGAGACGTATTTGTATCCATATCCGGACCGTTTGCACCCCTACTATACACGAGATAAGTTTAGACCTCTTCTTAACATGTAAAAAGACAAAAGAAGAAGAAGAAAAAAAATGTAAATCGAAATTAGAATATCGCATTGAACGGATGCAAAAATTTGAAAGACAAGCAACATAAGAAAGTCGGATGATTTTTTTTTTTTGAAGTCCTAGAATTCCTTTACTAGGCATCTTCACTACCTTGATCCCCTGCCTTGTAGACTAGAAGTTGTTCTGCAGGGGGGTAAAACGGTTATGTTTAGCTAATCACACTAATTCTTTCATTATCAACTGATCTTGTTCAGTACTACTAATGACTCTAAGGTGTGCACAAGTTTCACAAGAGTAGTAGTACTAGTGTTATGCACAAAGCAGTGGCTGTTGAGGGCCACCGTGTTTGTGGCTTTGATTACAGTGATCAGATTATTACATTCGATTTGATCAATAGGCAATGGAGTCGTACGTGTTTCACTTCCTCAAGGTGAACAATGTTTGTTTTATGTCGTGAAGGTTGAAGATGAGCAAGCCGAGGTCGATGATGATGGGGACGTACGGATTGTTTCCATAAGGTACGTAGATGGTTTGTTGGGAGGAGAGGGCGGAGTAGGTGGAGATGACAGGAGGAGGAAAGGAGGGAGCTCTTTTGTTGATGTTAACGGGGCGTTTTCGATGAGGACGAGGGAGGTTGTGTTTCAGGGTTGGAGGCCGGAGATTTTACCGGAGGCTGCGGATTGCAGAGTGCCGAATGGGAAATGGATATGAAAGATTAAAGCTTTTGGCTCTGTTGAAGAAATTAAACAAGATGTTTTTTCTGTGTTATCTTATAGCTGTTTGTGAGTGACTGATATGCCGAGGACTCGATAGCTTAGTCTCCTTCGTTTAGAATTTTTTTTTTCTTTCTTTCTTTGGGGTGATTTTAGTCGATTTACTTAGTTTATTGAAGTTTTCAGGGAAACAATGAGATCATTTGGAAAATTTTGTGAAATGGAATGACTTCTTAAGATTTCAAGCTCCTGTATTAGCGTGTTGAAGCTTGGAACATGCTTGTACCCTGGACTCAACAACTATACATAGAGATTTCTCCAACAAAAAAAAGAGGAAAAACCTATACATAGAGTACAGACAAATCAAAGAATAAATTCAAATCTTGTGAAGGTAATTTTGGAAAATTGACGGCAACTGAAAAAAATGAATGCAAGTATTGTGCAGTTCGAAAGTTGTACACATGAATCAACTGATATAAATGGAGAATAGACACAACAACAATAAATGTAATATCGTCAAGGTATATGTCAACCGGAAAATCGATAGCTAAAGAACTTTATATCCCAGATCAGCAGGTTCCTTATATCTGAATTTGCCTGCAACAAAATAAAAACGTTCTCTTTCGGAATCAAAAGCATACTAATTGTTCAAAACTTTATCACTCACGACACTCCTTTACAAGTTAAAAAGTACATATTGATGTCAAGAAGTGGATACATACTCAAGATGATTCTAAGAATGTTTTCAGCAGCCATATGGTTGGACAGGATGCTTATACTCATGTAGCTGATCACCTACAGCTCCTTTTTGAAGTAGGGATACAACTCAAGTAACGGCACCATGAGCAGTGATTATTTACATTTACCCCATGGTAAAGCAAAACAAGCCCACCAGTGAACCTGTATACACACAATGAATAAATTGTGAGGAGAACATCGAGAACTAGGTGGAGATCTCAGATTGTTAAGCATGTTAGGATATGTGAAGCATGCCCTATACTTCAGAAGAGAGGAGGAACAAAGTTGGAACAGGATCGACGATGGAGAAGTTCAAGCAAAAACGACGAAGGAGACAGTTTTCTGCATCGCGGTCGACCGGCCATGGCGCGGCGGTCGACCGACGTCGTGCACAGCTGGGTGCACAGGCCAGGAGCTCGTCGCGGTCGACCGTCTGTGGCGCTGCGGTCGACCGCTCAAAGTCCAGAGAGCAGGCCAGAGTTCTGTCTTCGTCGCGGTCGACCGAGCATGTCGCTGCGGTGGACCGCCCAAAGTCCAGAGAGCTCGATCAGGAATAGGATTCGTCGCGGTCGACCGCACGTGGTGCTGCGGTCGACCGGAGTCGGGTTTTGGCCCAGATTCGTTTTTAACCTGTTTTGTTCTGTTTCCTTCTTTACTTGTTAAACCCTTAAGTCTATAAAAGGGTTGATTAGGGCATGATGTAAAAAAGATAAAAAATAGTGAATTTTTCTCCTGCGGCGGCCGTGGACGTAGTTTCTCACATTGAGAAGCGAACCACGTAAATCTTGTGTGTTTGAGATTGTTTGATTTTCTCTCTTCTCTCCTAAATCTCTATTTCCAAATCGCATCAGGGGGATTGTGCATCCCCAACAAGTGGTATCAGAGCGACCAGGTTCGGTGCGAACGATTTGAGGTCAGAGACAATGGGATCTGAGAAGGAAACATCCAAGATTGAGAAGTTTGATAGAACAAACTTCGGGTTCTGGAAGATGCAGATGGAGGACTACCTCTATCAGAAGGATTTATACCTACCATTGGGAGAGAAGCCGACGGATATGAAAGATGCGGATTGGAAGCTATTGGATCGAAAGGCCCTTGGAGCGATCAGGTTGACCTTGTCTAAATCAGTAGCGTTCAACATCAAGAATCAGAATACGACGGCGGATCTCATGGCGGCGTTGTCCAGTATGTATGAGCAGCCCTCTGCGGCGAATAAGGTACATCTCATTAAAAAGCTGTTTAATTTGAGGATGTCCGAGAGCCAGAAATTCAAGGAATACCTGAACGAGTTTAACGAGATCACGGATCAATTAAATTCGGTCAATATTCAGTTTGACGATGAAATCCAAGCCCTCTTGATACTTGGTCAATTGCCCGACAGCTGGAAGGGTACCGTTATCTCGATCAGCGGATCATGTGGCAAATCAAAACTGAAGTTTTCAGAGGTGGTGGACATGATTATGACTGAGGAAATAAGAAGACAAGAGGAAGGGATTTCTAATTCAGGGTCGGCGTTGAATCTTGAGGGCAGAGGAAGAAACAGAAACAGAAATAGAGGGAGTAGCCGAGGAAGATCTAACTCGAGGAACGGAAGGCCAAAGTCCAGGAACCGCAAGGGCAAGAAGGAGATCGATTGCTGGAATTGTGGCAAGTTTGGCCACTATGAGAATCAGTGCCGAGAACCCAAGAAGGATAAGGAAAACAAGACTGAAGCGAACGTGGCCTCAGGAGAATCAGATGATGCCCCAATCTGTTTGTTGGAGAGCAAAACTGAATCGTGGGTGCTGGATTCAGGAGCTTCGTTTCATGCTACCTCAAATAGAGATTTATTTGAGAACTACATTTCAGGAAACCTAGGAAAAGTCTATCTTGGTGATGATCAGCCTTGTGATATTGTTGGCAAAGGAGTCGTGCAAATCAAGCTCAATGGGTCTACATGGAAGCTGAGTGATGTGAGACATGTTCCTAGCTTGAGGAAAAATCTGATTTCCATAGGACAATTGGCGAAAGAGGGATACGTATCAACCTTTGCATGTGATACATGGAAGGTTACAAAGGGATCCATGGTTGTTGCCCGTGGTACGAAGACGGGATCTCTCTATATGACGATAGATGCACGAGGTTCCATTGCAGTGGCTGAAGGCAGTGAAGACCCAAATTTGTGGCACCAGAGGCTAGGTCACATGAGTAGCAAAGGCCTAAAGGTTATGCAATCGAACGGGAAGTTACCAGGTTTGAGATCGGCTGATATTGACCTATGTGAAAGCTGCATTCTAGGGAAACAAAAGAGAATAAGCTTCAAAAGGGTTGGCAGAACTCCTAAAGAAGAGAAGCTTGAGTTAGTTCACACAGATGTGTGGGGCCCAGCATCAGTTCCATCCACCGGCGGAAGGTTATATTTCGTGACCTTTATAGATGATCACTCGAGGAAGACTTGGGTCTATTTCATGAAACACAAATCAGAAGTGTTTGAAGTCTTCAAGCGATGGAAGGCTATGGTTGAGAACGAGACCGGTTTGAAGATCAAGAAGCTTCGTTCTGACAACGGCGGCGAGTATGAAGACTCAGAGTTCAAGAAGTTCTGTTATGACAGCGGCATTAGATTAGAGAGGACAGTGCCAGGTACACCCCAGCAGAATGGCGTAGCAGAACGCATGAACAGAACATTGACTGAGAGAGCCAGAAGTATGCGGTTACAAGCAGGTTTTCCAAAGCAATTCTGGGCAGAAGCAGTCAACACAGCTGCCTACTTGATCAACCGGGGACCATCAGTGCCTTTGGAGCACAAAATACCTGAAGAAGTATGGTGTGGAAAGCAGGTAAACCTTTCTCATCTGAGAGTATTTGGATGTGTTTCATATGTACATCTAAATGATCATGCTAGAAGCAAACTCGATCCTAAGTCCTTAAAATGTTTCTTTGTTGGCTATGGCGGCGATGAGTTTGGCTACAAGTTCTGGGATGAGCAGAACAATAAAATCATCAGAAGCAGGGATGTGGTCTTTAACGAATCAGTCCTCTACAAAGACCGTGATGCAGTTCAGCCCACTAGCTCGATGCAGAGTGATCCTACATATTTCGAGTCAGATTATGCCTCAGGTAGAGGCAATCCCGAAGCTAGTTCTGATGAAGAAGAAGAGATGATGGATGAGACCACTTCAGAGAGGGCAGATGAAGATGGAGAGACTGTTTCGCCCGTTAGAGAGTTGAGGCGGTCAGCTAGAGTTCCCAAGCCCAATCCTAAGTATCCATCACTACAGCCAAGAGCTCATCTTAATTACCTACTTTTGAGTGACGGTGGAGAGCCAGAAAGTTATGATGAGGCTCTTCGAGTGGATGATACGAGCAAGTGGGAGCTCGCCATGAAAGATGAAATAAAATCCTTTGACACCAATAATACATGGGAACTTGCGAAGCTACCAACGGGGAAAAAGACCTTGAGCAATAAATGGGTGTACAGAATCAAAGAGGAATATGATGGTTCCAAGAGATACAAGGCCAGATTGGTGGTTAAAGGATTTCAGCAGAGAGAAGGAGTTGATTACACAGAAATCTTCTCTCCAGTAGTCAAACTGACTACCATCAGAACAGTCCTGAGTATTATTGCAGCTGAAGATCTACATCTCGAGCAGCAATAAATGGGTGTACAGAATCAAAGAGGAATATGATGGTTCCAAGAGATACAAGGCCAGATTGGTGGTTAAAGGATTTCAACAGAGGGAAGGAGTTGATTACACAGATATCTTCTCTCCAGTAGTCAAACTGACTACCATCAGAACAGTCCTGAGTATTGTTGCAGCTGAAGATCTACATCTCGAGCAGCTAGATGTGAAGACAGCTTTCCTCCACGGTGACCTAGAGGAAGAGATATATATGCAGCAGCCAGAGGGGTTTACTCAGAAGGGAAAAGAGAAGATGGTATGCAGATTGAAGAAGAGCTTGTACGGCCTGAAACAAGCTCCAAGGCAATGGTACAAAAAGTTTGATGGATTCATGCACAGGAACGGTTATTCCAGATGCAATGCTGATCATTGCTGTTTTGTCAAAGAGTTTGACAAGAGTTACATCATCCTACTCCTATATGTCGACGACATGCTAGTAGCCGGTTCAGATATGACAGAGATCAAGAAACTGAAGAAGCAGCTGTCGAGTGAGTTCGACATGAAGGATCTAGGCGCAGCGAAGCAGATATTGGGAATGAAGATCAGTAGAGATAAACTCTTGGGCACACTACGACTATCTCAGGCCGAGTATATTCGACGGGTGCTTGAGAGATTCGGGATGAGTGGTGCTAAGGCCGTCAGCACACCGTTAGCTAGTCATTTCAGATTGACTAAGGAGCAGTGCCCCGAGACTGATGAAGAGAAAGATTACATGGCTAAGGTTCCTTATGCTTCAGCCATCGGAAGCCTTATGTACGCCATGGTATGCACGAGACCTGACATTGCCCATGCAGTGGGAGCTGTGAGCAGATTTATGTCAGATCCAGGAGAGCAGCACTGGGAAGCAGTGAAGTGGATTCTTAGATACCTGCGAGGTACGATAGATGACTGTTTATGCTTCAGAAGAGGCAAGTTAGTTCTGCAGGGTTTTGTTGATGCAGACTATGCTGGTGAGATAGACCAGAGAAGGAGCACTACAGGATATGTATTCACTTTGGGCTCTACAGCTATTAGTTGGGTTTCTCAGTTGCAGAAGATCGTTGCTTTATCAACGACAGAGGCTGAATATGTTGCTGTGACAGAGGCAAGCAAGGAGATGATATGGTTGCATGGTTTCTTGGAGGAGCTGGGACAGAAAAGTGAGAAGAGTGTCCTACATTGTGATAGCCAGAGCGCAATACATTTGGCAAAGAATCCCGCTTTTCATGCAAGGACCAAACACATACAGGTCCGCTACCACTTCATAAGATCAGCGTTGGACGAGGACATGTTGGAACTTGTGAAGATTCAAGGAAGCAAGAACCCAGCTGATATGCTTACCAAGGTTGTCACTACAGAGAAACTGAAGTTGTGTTCAACTTCAGTTGGCCTCAGCACTTGATGATATGGAGGCCGTCGCCGCAGAGAGAGCTGAAAGAGATTGATAGTTAGTCTCCAAGTGGATGGCGCGGCGGTCGACCGACGTCGTGCACAGCTGGGTGCACAGGCCAGGAGCTCATCGCGGTCGACCGAGCATGGCGCTGCGGTCGACCGGCAAAAGTCCAGAGAGCAAGCCCAGACTGCGGACAGCATCACGGTCGACCGCACATGGCGCTGCGGTCGACCGCCCAAAGTCCAGAGAGCTCGATCAGGAATAGGATTCGTCGCGGTCGACCGCACGTGGTGCGGCGGTCGACCGGAGTCGGGTTTTGGCCCAGTTTCGAATTTTAACCTGTTTTGTTCTGTTTCCTTTTTTATTGGTTAAACCCTTAAGTCTATAAAAGGGTTGATTAGGGCATGATGTAAAAAGACGAAAAATAGTGAATTTTTCTCCTGCGGCGGCCGTGAACGTAGTTTCTCACATTGAGAAGCGAACCACGTAAATCTTGTGTGTTTGAGATTGTTTGATTTTCTCTCTTCTCTCCTAAATCTCTATTTCCAAATCGCATCAGGGGGATTGTGCATCCCCAACAAAGCAAATGGAGATACTTACCATGCAATTAAAAGGGCAGAAGCTAAAATCCAATATATGTGCTGGTATACTGTATGCTTCTGTTTGATTGGGGTGGTAGAATATCTAAGAATCTTCTGTTGTTTAATCCATCCAAACTGAGGGCGAACCAAGAAGATGAATCCGAGAAGAAACCCAGATATGAATCCTCCAATATGAGCAAAGTTGTCCACTTGAGGAAAGAGCCCAAGAGCTAAGTTGATCACAATGATGAAGATGAGGATGAATAGTGCTGCAAACTGACAATAAGTTGAGATAATTCACTTGATACCGTCAACCTGAAGATTTAGTGGATGTTTGTAAGTAAATATGACAGTACCTTGTAAACATAGATTGACCAATTTGTGAGGAGTTCAGAGAGCATGCTCCCCAGTAGTCCAAAGAGTGCACCAGAAGCACCAACTGAGATATCATTTGGTTTGAGAAAGAGAGCAGACATCAAGCTCCCACCAAACCCAGAGATGGCATACAATAGACCGATTTTCGCTGAAAGCACAATAGTGATGCTCTTCATAAAGATCTAATTAATTGAAGTACAAGATGCAAGCTAACACAAAAGATAAGGCAAAGGTAGTCTGAGATGCCAAATAATAAATAATTAATAAAAATAGTGACAAAAGTTAAAGATTAAGAAGACCATTACTGAATGCTAGAAAGACCAAAATCTCTTTTGAAATCATTGATAAGATTAAGGAAAATCTCTTTTGAAATCATTGATAAGATTAAGGAGACATTTATTATGGAGAGCTCAAGTTCGTGAACCATTTCATGTATTGAAGAAACAAACTGAATGCCAGAAAGACAAGGATACTAGTAGGAAATCATGGTCTGATGCAAAAGTTAAAGATTAAGAAGGCCATTATTTTGAAGAGAAATTTCTCAAGTTCATTAACCGTTGCATGTATTGGGAAAACATATTGAACTCCAGCAAGGAGAAAAAAAATACTAGTTGGAAATCATGGACAGATGCATTAAGTATCCAACATCACTTTCCTTCAATGTATATATAGTTAACTTCATGTGGATCTTATATACCAGTTATGATTTTAAGATAAATGAAACATAGTGTAAAAGCAAGCAATGTATCAGGGTTACATTTAACTACAACCTGTTGGATTTAATCTAATAAATCTATTTGTGGGCACATATGATTAAATAAATGTGTATTGCTATCCTTCAGGATAACCCACTAAAGTGATCAATTAAGTTGGGTTAATGGGTATTTAAATATAATCATGGGGTTATATGTGCAGATACCAGGTTGTAATTGTGATTTATTGAGGGGCTAAATTATAAAAGTACAACATCTATAAATAAGGGGTTATGGTCCCTAACCTAGGGTTACACTCTAATTCTCTTCACCCCCATCTAGAAAGAGAAATTCGGATTTAGAGAAACCCTAAGGTTAGAAGATCATTAAAAACCCAAATCAAGATTTTTTCTATGGATTCAGGTATAAGCTTCCGCCCTTTTAGATTCTTGTTAATCTCTTCGAATTAATCATGGCTATATGGTTTTAGATCTCAAGTTTTGGTTTAGATCCAACAAGTGGTATCAGAGCCACCTTGATTAATTCTTAGGGATTTAAGTTTTATTGGGTTTTTTGATCTTAAATTTCTGGTTAAAGATTCAGTTTTGTTTTTTTTTTCGGATGAACAGTAACGAAAAGTTTTTCAGGTGAAAAGTAACTAAAAAATCGCCGGTGAACAGTAGCTTTTTAGAATTTTTTGGATTTTTCTTCGATTTTTCTTGGTCTGGATCTGATTTTGAAAAATAAAATCGAGGAATTTTTTTTTTGGTTTGTCGGCGGCGGTCAAACGAACCTCGCGTTCGTTCAATTTTAACCGAGCTTCGCGCTCAACGAACCTCGCGTTCGTTCTAAGGTGAACCTCGCGTTCAACTCAGGTGAGCGTCAAGCTCAATTTTAACGAACCTCGCGTTCGTTCTAAGGTGAACCTCGCGTTCAACTCAGGTGAGCGTCAAGCTCAATTTTAACGAACCTCGCGTTCGTTCTAAGGTGAACCTCGCGTTCAACTCAGGTGAGCGTCAAGCTCAATTTTGACGAACCTCGCGTTCGTGCTTCAGTCGAGCCTCGCGTTCGAACTTCAGACGAACCTCGCGTTCGTACTTCAGTTGAACCTCGCGTTCATTTTTTTTTTTAACGAACCTCGCGTTCGTTCCCAAGTTGAACCTCGCGTTCTTTTATCAAACGAACCTCGCGTTCGTTCATTTTCAGACGAACCTCGCGTTCGTGCTTAAGTGAGTCTCGTACTCAATACAGTCAAACCTCGCGTTCGAAGTTAAGCGAACTTCGTGTTCACTATGGTTAAGCCTCAGCTTTTCATGGGTCCACTTTGGTATACTTAATTTATTCAATTAAGTTATGGGCCCTAATTAAGCTGTGAGACCCCAATTAAGTTTTTAGAAATTCAGTTGATTTGAATTAAAACTTTTTAATTTAAATCTAATTTGGTTTTTTAATCAATTATTTAATTTAAATAATATGACACTAAGGAATTAAGGTTGTCTTTCACTCCAATTGATTAATTGAATCAAGAAGTTGTCAAAGTAACCTCTCTTGTGTAGATTGTTCATGAGGAATGTGAGATGTTTGTGTGTATGCTTTCGTGTAAATATTTAATCGGCCCAAAGGAAGGTTAATATTTATTTAGACTGTATACACATCTGCGATGATAAGCGTGTGACAATTATAAGGTTTACATGTGAATAATGAATCGATCCAAAGATAGTTTCATTATTTGACATGAGTTATTGTCAATGTTTGATCATTGCAACAAGGTATCACTTACAAGTTAATATTACTGTCCAAAGACTTGATATTAATGTTGTGCCCGATATCTTGGATGTGGATTGTCATTATTTGAATTTTATTGATTATGGTTATTGATGTGAGTATTTTTGTTTTATTTCAGCTAATGCATCTGCTGCAACAATTTCTGCTAACATCAACTCAATTCCCATGCTAAATGGGACAAACTTCAAGGTTTGGAAAGAGAACATATTAATTGTTCTTGGTTGTATGGATCTTGACTATGCAGTAAGAACTGAACAACCCCAACCTCTCAATGCGGAAAGCACTCCTGATGCAAAGAAGGAGCATGAGAAGTGGGAGCGTTCAAATCGTATGAGTCTTATGATCATTAAGCGCGGCGTTCCGGAAACCTTCAGGGGCATAGAATCCGAAGGGATTACTAAGGCTAAAGATTTCCTTGCCTAAATTGAGAAGCGTTTTACTAAAAACGATAAGGTAGAAACAAGCACGCTTTTAGCTCGCTTGATTTCGATGAAGTATAAGGGCAAGGGAAACATCAGGGAGTACATTATGGAAATGTCTCATATTGCTTCAAAACTTAAGGCACTTAAACTCGATCTTTGTGATGAGTTATTAGTGCATCTGGTTCTGTTGTCTCTTCCTGCACAGTTTAATCAATTTAAGGTCAGTTATAACTGTCAAAAGGAGAAATGGACTCTAAATGAGCTCATTTCATACTGTGTGCAAGAAGAAGACAGGTTGAAGCAAGATAAGACAGAAAGTGCTCATTTGGCCTATGCCTCTAAGGATAAGGGCAAGAAAAGGAAGAATAATAAGGAAGCTGCTAAAGGTCCAGTTGAGAAGAAACAACATAAGGATAATCGGGGTTGTTTCTTCTGTAAGAAGCCTGGACATGTAAAGAACGACTGTACAAAATATCACGCCTAGCGTGATAATAAGGGTACGTTCCTTGCCTTGGTCTGTTCTGAGGTTAATTTAGCTTCAGTACCTAGAAACACTTGATGGTTAGACTCTGGTGCTACTACTCACATAAGTGTTTCTATGCAGGGTTGCCTGAGCTACCGAAAGCCAAGTGATGTTGAAAGATACATTTTTGTGGGCGACGGACAATCGATAGATATGGAAGCAATTGGGCACTTTAGGTTGTTGTTAGGAACTGGTTCTTATTTGGACTTAAAAGATACTTTTGTAGTACCGTCTTTTAGACGGAATTTGATTTCAGTTTCTGTATTGGACAAATCAGGTTATTCTTGTTCATTTGGAAACAATCAATTCAGTTTATCTTTTAATTCAAATATTGTGGGAACCGGTTATTTGAGTACTTATGATAACCTATATTTGCTTGATACAATTACTTCTTATAATGAAACTTTGCATGCGGAATCACGTGGTACTAAGCATAAATTAAATAAGGAAAATTCAGCGTCATTATGGCATAAGCGCTTGGGTCATATCTCAAAAGGTAGAGTTGAGCGTCTTGTGTCTGATGGCATTTTGGATTCCCTTGATTTTTCGGACTTCAACGTATGTGTTGAATGTATCAAGGAAAAATAGACCAAAGTGAAGAGATTAGGTGCAAACAGATCTTCAGATGTCTTAGAATTGATACATACGGATATTTGTTAGCCATTCCCTACAGAATCCTGGAATGGTCAACAATATTTTATATCATTCATAGACGATTACTGACGTTATGGGTACCTATATCTTATTCATGAAAAATCTGAGTCTCTGGACATGTTCAAAGCCTATAAAGCTGAAGTTGAGAATCAACTCAACAGAAGAATTAAAACCGTTAGATCTGATCGTGGTGGTGAGTACTACGGTAGATATGATGGTTCAGGTGAACAACGTCCAGGACCATTTGCTAGATACCTAGAGGAATACGGTATCGTCCCACAGTACACCATGCCGGGTTCACCTAGCATGAATGGTGTAGCTGAAAGACGAAATAGGACTCTTAAGGATATGGTAAGAAGTATGATTGCTCATTCTTCTTTACCAGAGTCACTCTGGGGAGAAGCACTTAAGACAGCAGCTTACATTCTGAATAGAGTACCAAGTAAAGCAGTTGTTAAAACACCTTATGAGCTTTGGACTGGTCGAAAGCCTAGTTTAAAGCATTTACATATTTGGGGATGTCCAGCTGAGGCAAGACCTTATAGGCCAAATGAAAAGAAATTGGACTCCAAAACAGTTAGCAGCTACTTTATTGGATACTCTGAACGCTCTAGGGGCTATAAGTTTTATGATCCCACTATAGGGAATATTTTTGAGAAGGGAACAGCAACATTCTTTGAGGATGTTGAGTTTGGGGGGAGAAATAAGGTTAGAAACATTAGTTTTGAGGAGGAATTGGCTTCAGATCCAATCCATACAGCTACTTTTGACAATATTCAGGTTTATATACCTGTTGTTGCTCAAGAAGTAAATCTGGAACCTCAAGATGATAATGTTGAACAACTCCCTGTTCCAGAAGAACAAACTCAACAACCTCAAGAACCAGTGCCATTAAGGAGATCCACGAGAGAAAGGAGAAATGCTATTTCGGATGATTACATTGTATTTCTTCAAGAACATGAGGAAAGTAGTGGAATGTTAGAAGATGATCCAATCAATTTTTCTCAGGCCATGAAAAGTTCTAACTCTCAAAAGTGGATTGATGCCATGAATGAAGAGTATAAGTCTATGCAAGACAATAAGGTTTGGGAACTTGTCCCATTACCAGAAGGTGCAAAACCAATTGGTTGTAAATGGATTTTTAAAACCAAACGAGATGCAAACGGTAATGTGGAGAGGTATAATGCATGTCTTGTGGCTAAAGGCTATACTCAAAAGGAAGGCATTGATTATACAGAGACTTTTTCTCCGGTTTTATCGAAAGACTCTTTAAGAATAATCATGGTACTTGTTGCTCATTATGATCTTGAGTTACATCAGATGGATGTTAAGACTGCATTTCTTAATGGAGACATTAATGAGATGATTTATATGGTGCAACCAGAAAAGTTTGTGTCAGGAGACCCAAAGAATATGGTTTGCAAATTAAGGAAATCCATCTATGGACTCAAGCAAGCTCCTCGTCAATGGTATCATAAGTTTCAACAAATAGTTATCTCGTTCGGTTTTAAGATGAACATTGTTGATGACTGTGTATATCACAAGTTCAGTGGGAGTAAGTATATTTTTCTGGTTCTGTATGTGGATGACATCTTGCTTGCCACTAATGATATAGGCATGTTGCACGAAACCAAGAGATTTCTATCAAAGAATTTTGAGATGAAAGATCTTGGGGACGCCTCTTTTATATTAGGGATCCAGATACATCGAGATCGCTCTCGGGGTATTCTTGGATTATCACAAAAGAGCTATATCGATAAGGTACTTAAAAGGTTTGGCATGCAAGATTGCAGACCAGGTGACACCCCTGTTGCTAAAGGAGACAAGTTTAGTCTCAATCAGTGCCCTAAAGGTAACCTTGAAATTCAGGAAATGCAGAAGATTCCTTATGCTTCGGCTGTAGGAAGTCTAATGTATGCTCAGGTATGTACGCGTCCGGATATTGCGTACATTGTTGGGATGTTAGGCAGATACTTAAGCAACCCTGGTATGGATCATTGGATAGCAGTCAAAAGGGTTATGAGGTATCTTCAGAAAACAAAAGATTACATGCTCACATACAGAAAATCAGAGAAATTAGAGGTCATTGGGTATTCGGACTCTGATTTTGCTGGATGCCAAGATAGCAGGAAGTCTACATCAGGCTACATTTATATGTTAGCAGGAGGAGCTATATCATGGAAAAGTGTCAAACAAACACTAGTAGCTTCCTCCACTATGGCAGCAGAATTTGTAGCTTGCTATGAGGCATCCAATCAGGGAATATGGCTGCGAAATTTTGTCACGGGACTGCGCATTTTGGAAAATGTTGAAAGACCACTAAGGTTATATTATGACAATAAATCTACAGTAATGTATTCCAATAACAACAGGAACTCAACTAAGTCAAAACATATTGACATTAAGTTCCTGGTTGTGAAAGAAAGGGTACAGAGTGGACAGATATCCATAGAGCACATTGGGACAAACTCCATGATAGCTGATCCTCTTACTAAGGGATTACCACCTAAGGTCTTTCATGAGCATACTGCTCATATGTGTGTGGTATTATTTGAGGATATTATATTTTAGTGTGAGTTTGTAATTGTGGTGCTTTATGTTTGGTTGTATTGTCTGATCAGAATAAAGTATTCAGTTAAGACACTCTGTTACATTATGTTTGGTTTTGACCTCACTAAGGAGGACCAGTTGAAAATAGACATGTACTGATCACATTGCATGTAATTTTCATGCTGCACATCCATGATTGATCTATGTCGTTTGATTGTATTGGTATATGTGACCATTGATGGGTCGAGTCACGATAAATGTGACGAAGGCCGCTTTGATCCTATATTGATATAGTCAATGGACGAGATTGGACGAGATTACCTTTTCAGTGATAGCAATTTTTGAGCTCATAAGGTTATACACAATTTAAGGAATCATATGGTACCCAAGTGGGAGATTGTTGGATTTAATCTAATAAATCTATTTGTGGGCACATATGATTAAATAAATGTGTATTGCTATCCTTCAGGATAACCCACTAAAATGATCAATTAAGTTAGGTTAATGGGTATTTAAATATAATTATGGGGTTATATGTGCAGATACCAGGTTGTAATTGTGATTTATTGAGGGGCTAAATTACAAAAGTACAACATCTATAAATAAGGGGTTATGGTCCCTAACCTAGGGTTACACTCTCTAATTCTCTTCACCCCCATCTAGAAAGAGAAATTCGGATTTAGAGAAACCCTAAAGTTAGAAGATCATTAAAAACCCAAATCAAGATTTCTTCTATGGATTCAGGTATAAGCTTCCGCCCTTTTAGATTCTTGTTAATCTCTTCGAATTAATCATGGCTATATGGTTTTAGATCTCAAGTTTTGGTTTAGATCCAACACAACCTGGATAAGATCCTCTGCAACACAAATAACAAGCTGAGGTTAGCCAAACAACACGGGCAAGAAAATAAGTTTGAGTACAGAAAACTCGAAAAAGTTTGAGGAATATAAGATTGGGTAAGGAATTTGATCTAAAAGTTCCATTCTCATAGCAAAAGCACCTATAACAAAGCAATAATCATATCTACCAGACATGCGGCCCGAAATGGTTGATGACATGAAGAGATATGCTTGTGAATTAGATAAAAAAAAATCTCAACAGTAAAAAATATTAATTATAAATCGAATTGCAATATGCTCACCCATGAAGCAATCCAAAATTAGTCTGTTAACATCATAGAATAATTCACTCTTCCTTTCCAATCTTGATGAAAAACAGCTGACGTCTAAAGACTCTGATCCTTTCTTCAACTTATATGAAAGGCAATTTACTTATCCCTTTGTATGAAAACAGCAAGAACATAAACTCAAATTTAACACATATCAAAAGTATTCACACCCACCTAACTTGGTTTTCCAACTCTAAAATCTGTGTGCAAGCTTTCCCTAAA